GTGTTGTGGGGAAATTTCAATTTTAATTAAACATCTGTTGGGGGCAAAACAAATGGCAGAAATAACAAGAGGCGCAAAAAAGCTCGGAAATTGCGTTTTACGGAAAAAAGTCGAGAACGAAATTATTAATGCTTATTTATCATTTACGCCTTGATTGCTCTGATATCGGACTCGACTGCTTCTACCTGTCCTCTTCTTTCCTCCACCCCTCCCCACCCCCCTCTTTATCTGTCTGTTCTGCGTTGTTGACATCGAGTATTAATATAAGAAATTTTCAAGCTTATCAGAAGAAGGTGATAAAAAGAGAGACGACACAAAAACGATGAGTATATTTGCTGTGCTTTTTCACATTTGTTTTTGCCCACACACACGAAATATATATATTCAGACATCTGGATGAATCTCTTATTTACCACACAGACTTGCTAAAAGAATAGGAATTTTGGGATCTGAAAACTAGAAGAGCTTTTATCTTTCGTCTTATGCAGAGGAATTTTAATAAGATTTTAGAAAATACTATTGTACTAGACGAGAACTATAAATAGGAACCCTTAAATCTCCTTTGCATCCTTTGACTAGGGTATGAATGTCTGCTTTATATTCAAATTCCCCAGCTTGAATTGGCCTTTTGTCGTGACACGAGAGACAAGCAAATTGGCCAGCGGCTGCTGCACTTGACCCGCCCCCATCGCCCCTCTCTGCCACTTGAGCTGCCTCATCAAATCTTGCCTGGAAACTTGCCTCGTTGCACATCTTTCAATTGTTGCAAGTCGCACACTCGAGCCACGCCCCACCGCCCATCCGCCCACCATTGCCACACCCAACTCGTAATCCCACACTTCAAGGGTGTTGAAAGAACTCATCATCATCCAGCTGCCTTCTAATCCTCCTATCCCTATCCCTCACTCATCCCCATTACCTCTCCCCCCTCTGGAGAAAGCTCTCACAAAAGGGGAGGCAACAGCAGCGTTTGCAAATATAATTACACTTAGAAAATGGATGTCGTATTGGCGGAGCAGAAAGATCTGATTAACGCAGCCTGTTGACAGGCAATCCGATAAGGAATCACAATCAATGGAGGGACTATAAAGGACACAGTGGGCAAAAGCATTATAAACTATGAATAAATCTGTATTAAAGTCCTTGGAGTATTTATAATATTCAAGGCCTTGATCTACTGATAATTATTAGGTTTTATAAATTAACAGATAATAAAACAATGTTGTCTTAAGTGTATTACTGCATAGGTCACCCGACTTTACCCCGTAATCTTGCCCAGCGATTTCATCACGTGGGATCGAAATGGAACCTATGATTTATCAGCTTTCCACTACGGTGACTGGGCAAACGTCTGTTGTTTTCCTTTTCCTGGTTCGTGGACTTTGTCATGTAACAACCGGCCCTTTTGGAAAATGCTCGAAATGTCAATCCCGGCAAAGAGCCCACTCGATCCATGTGAAGAACGCAGGCAAGCAATCAAAAACAACTCGAATGGCCACTCAAAACTCGGGCTCTGACGACAAACGAGCAACGAAAATGGCAATTTTAAATGCAATTACAAGTAGCTGGTAATTGCAAGTAACTATTAACGAGCATAAAACTGTTGCACATGGCCCACAGTGGCGTCGTCCTTATAAAGGGGGTGGGAAGAGGGGGTTTTGGGTCCTTAGGAAATCGCTTTTAGGCTGACTGACTCACTGGGCAGACACACCCAAAAATGAACGGGGCCACATTTGCATGCCTAAGTATAGAGTATATGGCCCAAGTATGATTGTTAAATCGAGGTAACAAAAATGTAATTCTCCTTTGACATGCAAACTCGTCGAAAGCGTCGGCCCACTGACGTCAAGGGTAAACTTTTTCGGATTGCGATTTGTACGAGAGCTGGGAGCTGAAAACTTTGTTGCTCCTGTCCGAGTCAGCTTGGCAGCTTGTAATTAAAATGTGCAACTGGGCCTTCGCCTCTTTCCCGCCGTTTACCCCCTCTTCTGCTCGGATTACTCCAAAGCCCGGGGTTCATTAGCCACTGCGATAAGGCCCCTACTCAAGAGTTATGTAAACCCTCTTATCAGCCAAGTATTTCGTTTACACCCCGAGCAAGCTTATCGCTAAGCCTCGATTAAGACTCGGTGGAAATCAGTTCTAAAAAAAGAAGCTTCTCAAGGTTCTGCGCAGGTGACTTTGAAGAGCTTCTTAATTAATTAATTTTCCATCACACTTTATTAATAGTCGCGACTTCTCATTGTCATGCCGCCAATATCGATGACGAATTTGTAACATTTGGACACTCCTTATCGCCCGTTACAAGCGGCGCGTCATTCTTTCAAATGATAAGCTCTTCAGCCATAAATCGGCATTCGTATTCATAGATTAAAGCTGACGCACGGCTCAAAGTTAAATCACAGAAGCAAAAATATTAATTTGATAAATCCGCAACGAGTCACAGATGGTGGTGAATTCCCCCCGGCCCCTCGGGGGTCCCAATGAAAAATGGCCTGTATTATATACATTATTTAAACGCTTGCCAGATGTTTTCCCAGATCAACAGGGCTGATAGAGAGTGTTATTGAACATTGGACTGTGCAGCATATACATATGTGCATGTAGCATACGTGCGTCGAAACATGTGAAATTGATAACGCTCTGATTCGGATTCAATGTCATTGGGGGATAATGCAACTGTTACGGCGAGAAGAAAGCACCGATTATCATGACTTGACAAAGAGGACAACGGCTCGTTGTTTTCCCTATGCAATGACTCGAATTAAAGCTGATCAATAAACTGGTTATCATGACGAATTTATATTACCTATATAACTAAAAAGATTGTAAATTTCCAACCCCTCTTTTTACTACAAAAATGAATTATCTGCAACAAAGTTCCCTTGATTTATAGATCTGGTTATGTGCACTTTTGCCCTCAAAAGTCCTTATATTTCGCCATAAATAGATTTCAATTAGTAATTATTAATAGCACACTAACGGGAATTAAAACGAATCGTAACCTTTGTAACGATTAGAGGCTAAGCCCTCCCATAAAAACCATCTACGTTCTGCCCCAATTCGTCTTGATGGTATTGTGTACGATGTTAACTTAAGTTCAGAGCCGTAAATGTTGATAGCAAATGAGCTTCTCTGATAGGGATAGGCTAGGTTAGATAAGATAAAAGCAAGTTGAAGAAGCATATTTTCTCTTGTCTTGGCTCTGTTGTCGGTTCTTGTTTTCCACCGGAGATAATATAGTTGGCAACGCATTGGGACCGAAATGGGACTGGGACATTTATTCACCTGAATATTAATGGCTCTGTGTGCGAGCCCGTTATTTGATAAGTTTGCCCGATTAGATTGCACACACACTAATGCACGGGTCGCAAATAAGCCAAAGACTTAATTAGCCTGACAAACAAGGCGAATTGCCGAATTGACTTTAATCTTTCGGGTCGGTGAAAGGGGCGGTGCCTGGTCTATAATGTGGGGAGGGGTGGGGGAACATAATCGTATGTATATCGCTCGTAGTAACAGAGCTCGGCTAAACAGAAGTCAAGTGTTTGTACTAAACGCCTCAAGTGGCCAGCACTTGGACATTGAACCCGCCAGCAAAATAATACACAGAAAGAAAGCAAAGCGATCTTAAGTGATGATCGAGTCAAGTAGATTTTAATCACAAAGTTAAGACAATCTTTTCAATATAATTATTCATCATTCAATGGTATTATATTATAATATAACCTTTTAGGTCGCCTACAAGTCACACACCCTGTTCTCTATTTTCTTTTTTTCCTCCACACACCTTGGGGTGTTGAAAAAATTGGCATTTAAAATGAATTAGCGCAAAACTAGTAAACAACAAGACATTGGAATTGGACATGGCCCCCCGTGAGTTGATAACGAAATGCGAATCGAAATCGAAAAAAAAAAAAAACACTCACTTCTGTCACTGATAAGCGTTAAAAAATAGTTTCAAACAGCCTGCAGGTCCAGGCCCCCCAGAAAAAAATTGTAATTGAAATTGAATCAAGTACTTAATTTTCGAATGAATGTCGAGTACCTCTCAATGAAGATTCTTTTATAACATTTTTTTATGGTAAGCCGCTCTGGTATTAGCCGTAACGAAATTCGCCATGAAAAAAGGCCGCCATTAAAATGAAATGAGAACATTTTTGTTGGTATGGCGTCGTGAACAACTTTGCACGTTGGTCATAAAAACGGTAATCATTTTTTAGTTATTTATTTCCAAAGATAAAACACAACCAATTTCTATACCCGCTTTTCCTCGCCAACTCAAGTGATTCGAAGGCCCTTTAGTGTTACACCATATCCTCTTATGAAGGGATACGTAATTTAATACGCATATCGTACACGCGTATCATATTGCATAAACTATTGTCGAGGATCGATAAGCTATGAAGTAATTTCAAGGCAACCACACTATCGGGAGAAGCGTGGATGGATAATTTTGTAACCTCCTTGAGATGGAGCCGATGACTTTCCCTTGAGTTCTGTAACCTTAAGGGAGGTGTACTTCACATCCAATGTCGTGGGTCCCTTGACTTTAAGTAAAGCGTAGTAATATGATGGGTAAATATAACATAGCGGACCATATCAAAGATCCCATAATATAGATAAAGAAGAAATGATGCGTGCTATTAATACTTTTAATGGAACAGTTCTGAGGTCAAATACTTGAAAACTCAAGTTTCATGGAACTACTTACATATGTTTCTAAAATCATCCCAATTCCACTTACTCCATCAACACTATATCTTTGGATGAATACATTATTTTGGTAAAATAGAGGATCGATGCATTATTTCCATTACGAATGATATGCGATGTTTGTGATTTATCGTGGGTCTGCCGGATTCTACCTCACTTCGTGTAAATAGAAATAGAAAATCATTTCGCGGGCTGCCTATTATAGTGCAATTTCTTCTAAGCCACGCGGATTGAATGGAAAATTACCAGATGGTGTATTCTATCTATAGCTGTGATGAACTCACCTTCTCCAGACACTCCTGACCATTGGCTTTGGGATCCCACTTGACGGCTTGTTGGGTGCCGTTGGGCAGGTTGACAATGCACCACATATTGTTGCTTTTTAACTGCTGCTGTCGCCGCCGTTTGATTTGTTGTCTAACAGGTAAAAGCTCTGCTCAGCTGTGGTTTAAAACAATTGCATCGGGGACTGGCTTCCGGCTTGTTTGCACAATAGCCGTATTCAAAATCTGAATCAAAATCAAAGCCGAAGCCCGAGCTACAGGTTGCAATTTTGTTACTGTTTTGCGCACCAAATTCAATTAGGTTCGCGTACTTCGTTCCAGTCTAGGAAACTTATCTTTCTCTTTCAGTTTTATTTTATTTTATTTTTTGTTAACTTTGAACGTTGAGCACTGCGGAGTTATTTAAATAAATTTGCACTTTTGGAATTTTGTACACATTTTTATTAAGCGGCAACGAACGCACGCACGCTTCTCGTATAAACTTTTGATTGTTGCTACTGTTGTTGCTTATTCGTTTTTTATTTCTGCTTGTTTATTGTTGGCTTGTGAAACACACCGTTCTGCGATTTTTTTTTACAAAAATTAAAATATCGCTTCGCTATATTTGTATTCCCGGCGATTTTGCGGATATCCTTGTTGTTTTTGTTTTCTGATATTTTTGGTGTTTAACACAGCGCTGCCGAAAATCGAGTGAAAAGATGTGAGCGCTGCGTGTTGCTTAAATAGATTTTTACCCGCTCGCTCTCCCTTAAACTCTCGCAATCTGAATCACTTTGTCAGTGCGCTCCGGGCAACGTCGGCTCATGGGTTTCTCTTTCAAAAGAGAAAAGTGCACTCAAAAAATAGGTTTACCAAAAGTTGGAGAAAATACTGTTATTAAAAAAAGTTTAAACAAAAAAAGTGTTAAAATTAAACAAATTAATTTATTCATTGCCAACCAAATTTTTTCAAGGCTAGTGTAAGAAAAAGCAAAGAGTTAAACGCTTTACCCCGGAAACCAAAAATTATTTATTATTTTTTTTTATTTTAGTATTTTTTTGTCTTTTAAATTTTTAAAATGTAAACTTTTTTTTCAAGTGCAGTAAGAGAGTGTCATTTTGTAGGTGATTCACTGCGGGGGCGAGAAGTGTGTTCAGCGGCAGCTGTTACTGCCTGTTTCATTCAACTTCTCTGTTGCCCAGCTGTTGCTGTTGTTGTTGTTGTTTTTGTTTTTAGCCACTGGGCTTTTGTTATCAGATTTCTGCTCGCCGCATTGAAATTGAAATGCAGGTAAATTGTTGAACGAATGCGATGCGCATGTGCAGATCTCTTTTCTTTCCTTTCCAGTGCAATGCAGCTGTTTCTGGTTTTACATCTTCTTCTCAACTGGCTTACTGCATTATCTGCTCTTCAGCTGTTTGTGTTTCATTCGAGCGACCTGCACAATATGAAGACTAATGAGTCGGTCCGGGAATTTTGGGGTGGACCTGCAAGGGCTGTTATCAAGGGATATATCATGCACTTAGAACAATGCAAAAATGAATGGAAATACTGCAACGTTTCTAAAGTAGATTGGTTTAGATCAACTGACCCCTGTGAAGGTCACATAGAGGTCGTTGCCAAGCGCGCATTGTGTTCATGTTAGCTAGCGTGATTTTCATCATTACAAAGTATTGCAATCGAGAGGGCTTGAAGAGCTTCCACATTAGTCAGTGGAATAAATAGTTTAAGGTTTTTGAGTTGTTAGTACAGTCTAAAAGTAAACTTTTAAGTATTTAAGTATTTTTAAAGATTTATTCTTTACTTCACTTGGATGATCCAATGCGGATCTTCCTTTAAACTAAATAATAGGTAATCATATATGGTGGCTAGGGTGGGTCGATTTGGGACCCCAAAAATCGTATAGGGGGAACGTAATCTTTAACGGATTCTAAGCCATATTGGCGAACATACTTATGGTCTAAAATGACGTTAGACCCCCCCAACCGCGAATGAAAAATACTGCTTTTTTGAGAAAAATATCATAGTAGTCAGCACAGATATCTTACTGAAGGTATCAATTTCAAATTTGTACTTTCAAATTTTGTAATACATTTCTGAGCTGACTACTCATGATATTTTCGTCAATCAAAATTGCTGTATCTTTCATTCGCGTTTAGGGGGTCAAACGGCCTTTTAGACCATAAGTATGTTCGCCAGTGATGGCTTAGAAGTCGGGATTTAAACCGATTATGCGTTCCCCTATACGATTCATCATTTTTTTCGGCCCCATACAAATCGACCCGCCCTAATGGTGGCATATTTATATTTAGCAATAATAATATTAAGTTGTTTAATACCAATATCCATATTTCAAATATTAATTCATTTAATAAAATAGTAATTAGTCTTTAAAAAAAATATTAGTCCTTTACTGTAATTGCCATTCAGGGTCACCCCAATTATCCCGCTGATCCTAAGTTTGATGACAAGTAACCAATAAGTTTGGGGAATTCAGTCCGACCAAAAGGCTTAGTCCAAAATGCTGTTTATTCCCTGGCCAAAAGCCATCAGCTTCCAAATGTAAAGTGACTTGCATAAGTCGACACACCTCCGACTTGATATTTACCCCTATTATGTACGGGGTACGCTTTGTAGGTCAGGTGACACAGGTGACACTGAATGGGAATAAACGGCCGCCCGGGTCACGTTCCCCCCAAATCGCCCAATAATAGGGTTGGCGCGGACTAGAACTGACCTTGGCTATAGCATACTATATAGTATGCGCTCGTAATGCGTTTCCATCAGGGGTTTCGGTACAGAAAATCGATATCACTGCAATGGCCATCGGCAATTGACAACGGACAATGATTGAATGGGGGATAATAGGGCCTACTGTCTGCCCAACATCGAAATGGCATTTGTACAACTTCTGCCATAAACTATGCAAATCTGGTCTCTCCTGGGATATTTCCCATTCGCAAAATGTCGACTACATTCTGGCAGCCAATTTAATTAGTTGGCAGGCAAACATTTGGGTAATCAGTGGCTAAACAGTTTATTTAGCCGAATTTGGTTACAAAGGACACATTAAATCAGTGTAGCTTAAATGTGCACAAATCGTGCCAGAAAATAGTTGAGCCCTTTATTGGGCTTTCTAAATATTTAAAATTTTGTATTAAAACTATAAACTGTACAACTTTTTAAGCTTAAAAGAATAAGAAAAGGGAGTTAGACACAAAATTTTAAATTTAACTTTCTATAAAAGTAAATTCAAAACAACACTTTTAATCGATCTATTAAATTTAAATACATTTTTTTTAAATTTGTTAAATACTTTTTACATTTTCTTAATGTAAAATCCGAACAAGTTAAATACATTTAGTTTACACGAAAGCTTTTAAACAATTGTATTTATTCTTAAACCAATAAATAGTAAAGTACAAGTAAAGAATTTCTAAAACGTAGAAAATGTTAAAATTAAATAGTAATAAAAGTATTTTAAATGCTTTAATATAGTTTGAAATATAAATAAATTTGTCAAATAGATAACTATTAAATTAAAATTAACATGTTCAAAGAATAAAGAGGCTCTTTATTTAAATATTACAATTTTAGGGTTAGTTAGCGCATACAATTACATATTTATTGAGCTCAAATATCCAGTGCCTGTAAAACAATATCTTTTTTGGGTGATTGATTGTCAATTGATGTCAATATAATTTTAGTCAAATCATAATTACAAATTTGTTTATATTATATTAGGACTGGGATTCAATAAGCACTTTGAAGTAAAAAATAAATAAATTCAACCAAATTGGATCAATTACCTTTAATAAAGCCAACCCTGACCGATAAGAAATTCACGCCAGCAATCATTTTATATCCTTCGATCGGTGGCACACTTCGGCCTCATGCTAAATGGATCATTAAACGCGATCAAGATTATGAAGATGGACTTTGGGCATGCCGGAGTCATTCGCAGACTGTGTGGGTGGAAAGCAGGGCATTATTTATGGGGTCGACTAAGGTGAGTACTATATAATTCGGCTGATGACATTACTCATCTAGGTCCGAGACAGAGACAAACAAACAATGGCGGTGGGTGACCTCCCTCTGATAAGGGAGTCCCGGCATTGTAAACATTCTGTATTGTATTTATAGCCACCGATGGGTAATCTTCATCAAGTCCTCACTATAAATACAGAAGAATCAGTTTCCGTATGCGCGGGAGGCCCACTTGGCAACAGGGCCATCGATCAATAACCACTTAACAGTTATAAGTGGGATTCGAGAATTTGGAAAAAAATTGCAAAGTAAGGCCATAAATTATGTTGCCAGATTCGTGTCGATCTGATTACCAGTCTGGCGAAATACTATAAGGAGGGAACGTGCTTCCCTGTCCGTTTGATTGGACTAATTAACTCAAAAACGAAAGAAATCAACACATATTCCGTCTGATTGCTTTAATCTTCGGCTCCAAAGTTCATTGTCGCGCCAAAGAATCACTGTTTATTATTTTTCATCATAGTCCAATAAAATGACAATGCCCTGGATATTAAATTAATATGTAATGTGAAAGTAAACGAAGGTTTAATTAGCTAAAAATATAAGCAAAAGCTTTGATGCCACATTATAGTAATTGAATCAATAACAATTGATGGCGCGATTAGCCTAATCAGCACTACATTGTTTGTTTACATAGTATACTTCAAACTAGGTCTTCAAATATAGACATCAAGATGGACTCAGTCGACGAACTTTTTGCGGGACTTGAGTTAATGATTTTCACATCGTGACAATTTCATAAGTACCCTTTAATCTACGCATCACTTCAATTTTAATTCTGTCATTTCTTTCTTATCTCAACACAAACAACACATTCTAAATTCCCCTTAGATAATTCACTATTTCGATAAGTTGTGAATGGATTACAAAGCAGATTAATATGAGGAAATTGATTTTGTTTGCATTCAATCAGGTGTTATCAGATGGGATCAAGGTTGCCTTAAAGGGTGATTTTTATTAACCTTTCATAGGGTTTTTTCCAAATCCCTTTTTCATATTCCATTTATTATATTTAAATTAAATTATTTGTTTATTTAAAAACCCAAAACCCCGCTTTAAATGCACTTCAATTGGGGGGTAATTTTAATTCCCCTTTTTTCCAATGGAAACTTTTCTTACCGTACCATCCATGACCTTCGATAATGTTACATTGTCACTTAAAGTGCGGACAAATAAACCAATTAACAATTACGCCTTTACTGTTTACGTCTATTTAGGGGAATAACCGATGTGACTTCCAGGAATTTGATATGCAATTACATATTCTGATGCAACGTTAATTAGTTTTTCGCGAGAGAATGAATAATAATATGGATGCACAACCGATCTTGAAAAAGAGTTCTTTTGTTTACGGATGAGGTCATCCAGGGAATGCGTAAGAAAAGCTAAGCCAGGCTAAAGGAACCCATTCCCGGAGATTCCGTGTTATTGCCGGAAGTAAATACTGACCGAGACATTGCACAATAAAATTGCGAAGCTGGGCTCGAATCAGTTTTAATCAGTTAGGCGCCCCTGAAATCCCCTTATCAGCAACATGATGTTTCACTAATTAACTGTTTATACGCAACATTAATGTGCACTATGCGGGAAATCACATATAAATTCGATGACGATTGAATAGAATGCATGAGCCAGCTGTAAAGCTCAGAATTTACCGACTGTCAAGCTTTATTTTAGATTTCCCATAAGAAATATAATATAGAATATATTATATATAATATATTTCTAAATAGGTATTTAAATTTAATAAATGTTATAAAGCGGTTAGGAATAGTGGCTTATTCCATTAGAACGGTGACATGTAATTGATGAAGCAACATGAGGATAATTTTTTGGAAAACAATTTTGGAATGCTTATGAAACTTTTTTTTAATTATTAAATTATTTGTTTTTTGTTTATCATAGTTATAAATTATTATAAACCATCTAATATGCACGAAGCATAATTTGTGTTTTGACAGGAAGACAATATTGAAACTATTAGAATCAATTTATGTGACTGCACTAGCACCAATAATTGTGTTATAGTTCATGTCCAGTTCCTGACTCGTTCGCACTCATTTGAACTTCCATAAGGGAAAAATTTTTACAATAAATTGATGGTAAAAATGTAATGTGTCATCCCAGACTAACTGCTATTTCGAGACAATACGCAAAAATAGAATACTTAGAGAGTGGGTGTGAGCATTGATTAAAAAATTGCTTGCTTTTCAAATTTCCTGTTTGTTTTTTTAAATAAAAATCTTTTAAAATAATTATAAAAAAAAATTTTTTAATTGCATTCATTTTTTTTAGGTCAAAAAATATATAGCTAAGAGAAAACCAGGAATCGCAAATAAGAGTTACCTTTTTAAAAAAATTGACAAATAAGTTTTATTTTTCAATTTTTATTATAAAAGTTGACAAATAACTCTTATGTTATTTTATTATAAAAATCAACAAATAAGGTTATTTGTCACTTTTATAATAAAAATTGAAGCAAGTTATTTGTCACTTTTATAAAATTGAAGCTAAGGTTATTTGTAACTTTTATAATAAAATTGAGTAAGTTTTTTTTTTTATAATAAAAATTGAAAAATAAGACTTATTTGTCAATTTTTTCAAAAAAGTAACTCCCATTTGCGATCCCTGGAGAAAACCTTTCGAAAATCACCATTTAAAGGATTTTGTTGTTTTTCCTATTACCCATAAAGCTGGCATACGCATCGTATGTGCAACTTTTATGGATAATGTTGAGACATATTGCAAATAGATCAAGATAGAATTGCAAATTCCTGTTCAACACCATATCGATGCCCATTGTAAATTCCAGCCAAAGTGATTACTTTTGCGGGAAAAGCACACTCCTTGCCATCAGGATAGCACGTTCCCCGAGATCTTACTATCTCGTCATACGCTAAGTTCTTGTCCATCATCATATCGATGCCAAAAGTATGTGCGATTACCAAACCCATCGTAAATTCCAACCAAGGTGATTACTTTTTCGGGAAAAGCACACTCCTTGCCATCAGGGTGGCACGTTCCGCCGAGATAGTAAGTAGTACCTGGTATTCGCCTATCAACAATTATGTGTCACGAATGCTGCACGATCTCAGCACGATCTGTTCGTTAGCTTTGGCTTTGGCCCCAAGTATAAAAAGTAATGCTCGGGCCCCTCGAGCTTCCAGTTGCGGTCAGATCGTCAATAGGAAATAATACATCGAGAGTTATACATTTTCGTCGTGGTGCGGATAAAGTATTAGTAGACCAACGCAATGGCTCGAAAAGTAAGCACAAACATTAACATCTGTCCCTGAATTCTATTCCTAGAATACAAAGTCTAGCAAAACTCCCAATGATAATGCCAAGTGCTAATCAGCGATCGGAATAAACTTTGATACAAATAAAGCAATTACACTTCAAAATGATTTATGGCACAGGTGCCAAACAGAAAACACTCAAAGTGAATTGAACTAATAAATCGAATCTATCTGCGAACGTGAAAGAGATTCATTTAAAATGATAAAAGTTATAATGGGATGGTGTTTGTCCGCAAACATTTTCGGTGAATTCTAAACGGAACTTGTGTCAAAGACCCCGCTTTTGATTAAGCTATATAAATAGTCCTTTTGTGAAGATGTGTCCAAAGATCCAAACTCCATCAAACTCGTTTAATCTGGCTTGAACTTTATGCGTTGAGCTAGAACCAGACAAAGGCGCATCGAACTGCCTTAGCCGCCTCTCAATTGTGTCACAACCGAAAATTCAATTAATGAACTGTTCAACTTTCGACTGATTACAGATCTTCTGCAATATATTGATGCTGACCCTACTCGTGCTCAGTGCCGATGGCCGACCCTCGACAGGGGAGGAGTTGAGTGCGGATCCCAGCGAGTATCACGGGAATCTCTCGGTGGAGACCGTCCTGAAAGTGCAGCAGTGCGAGAAGGACTCGAATACGATGGAGCTGTGCATGCGGTGTGCCAAGGTGACCAAGTCGGATTTCGTATATCCCATGTGCTGCAGCAACGATGATGGCATCAAGGACTGGTGCAAGGAGTACGTCTACTTTGGCATCGAATAGAATTGGGATGCGGGACCAGGAGGCGATCCCAACTCTGTAAATTATTTCGTACTCCTGCATGGATTGGAGATTGGCTGTGATAACCCACTGTATTTATTTTAAATTATATTTAGGAATAAACAAGGCTAAATTAGCGTATTTCGTGGTCTTTACCCTTTCCCACTGAAACACTCTTCATTTCATTTTGTACGTTTCTTTTATTTATTTCGCTTTTTTTTGCCGAATTTCGTTTTATAAATTCATTTTTTGCATTTTTAGAAAACTTTATAATAATTAAACAGTTTTAATAATTATTGAAAAGCGATTCCGAATAAAAAAATAAATTTGGCATTCTCTGCGTTAGGAAAACTATATATAATTGGCAATTAAATTAAGTATTTGTAGGCTCCGCGTATTGAAAAGAACGATTTATGCAGTTCTAATGGTTTGCCCTGGGGCATTCATTTATGGCGAGTTTGTTCAAAAAATCGTTGAAAATAATAAAATACAAAATCATAAGCGAAAGTTAGGTCGCACATCCGTTCAAACTTTAGCACGAAATATCGTTTTCGAGCGTCGGCGAACGTAGAACTTTCACTGCGCGGTATATATAAATGTATATAACAAACAAGGTACAACCTAGTAACGATTGTTTTTTTTTTCTTTGTTCTTTTTCTGTTTTTATGGTTTTGCACTCGCTGCATCGGCGGCTGCTGCTCTTCGTCTGCTTGGCATTTGATTTGTGGGTTTCTTTCTTTTTTAACGTTGACTGAAAGCAACATTTAAATATTAAGTCGCGTGAAGAGTTCAACTTACCAGAATTCAAGCACGCTATTACATATTTGTTTTAGTGTTTTAGTGAGTTTTTTGTTTTGTTAGTTATTGAGAGAGAGGTTTGTCTTTGGCAGCTCGTTTTGGACATCGGGGCGGGCTAAATGCAGGTAGGAGCAGTCCGCATCCTCGCAGCGACCCATCAGATCGAAGGGGCAGATGGTGGCGTGGACATCGAGGTGGCTTGGGAATGAAAGAATACGAAGCAAATACATTTCGCCAGGTTACTGAGCCTACGCATTCTACTCACCTATTGTAGTTTCTGGACATGGGCGTTTGATAGGCACTCAGATAGCCCTCGTTGGCCTGCTCCTCGCGCAGTTCCCGCATTGTGGTAACCGTGTAGGGTGCTGAGGTTTTAATGGGAACTCCTATCGCTTTATCCTGCGCCTGATCCTGAAAATAAACTCAACCGATTTGTTAGTCTGGGGTCTTGGCAGCATTTTCAGGATTAAAGTAGACGTTCAATAATAACAGCGGAAAAACGCGTTGAATGAGGTTCTTAGCTATAGTTTTTGAAGCAATATGTACAAATCGAAATCCACGCACATCTGGAGTCTCAGTCTTCGTTTCAGGTTGGTCTTCAGGCGCAGGATGTGTCTCCGTCTCAGGATCTGTGGAAGGTTGAGTAGGTTCTAAGGCAGCAGGATCCTGGGTATTCGCCTCCTTTATTTCACTTGTTGCTTCCATTTCGATCACAGTATTTGGCTGACTGTCCTCCGCATCAGTCAGCTTCTTGAGGTCTTCGTACTTTACTATGGAATTGTAGAGACGTATCTCCTTGGTGAGTTGTGTGGACTTGCTGGTAATGGCCGCTTTGCCCTCGTCGAGTAACCTGCAAGGAAATCAAACCTATAATCGCATAGAACTCTCTTCGTTCCCTCGCATTCGATTTGGTTTCTGTAATCGTTTTGTTCCAGCTTTCCCACGCCGTTCTGGTTGCTGTTGTGGTTGATCGTGGTAATACCTGTAGTCAGCGCCCCTTAATCCGCGGCCCAAGTCCATGGCCGCCGTATGGAGTTTGTGACGTTTCTGCTTCAGTGATATGATGATCTCATGGCTGGCCTGAATCTCAGGCTGAATCCTGGCAAGCTTAAGTTCCTCCTGCTTGACCGCCTGCTTAACAGTCTGCATTTCGGCGTAGAGTTCTTTTAGGCGCTGCGAACATCGCAAACGTATTGCTTTTGACTTTTTGGCCTCTTCGACCATTTGCAGCGATTTGTCCAGATTGATTAGCATACTTCCCCTGCAATGGAAAATAATCAGAGATGAGTATCAGTAAGCTGTACCTATACAAATATCTACCCAATCTTGACAAACGAATTCTCAAAGGCCTTCAGCCGACTCTCCTTGGACGGTTGACTCAGCTTGGCTTTTGTTTTTGGTGATTTTGAATCCGCATTTTTGACTTGCGGTTTCTCAGGTGCTGAGGTAGCTTTACTGTGGGTGATTTGAACACTTTCTAAAGATGTTTTTGATGGATTTTGTACAACTTTCGCCGTGATTATCGGCGATTTAATCTTAGGCGATGGCACCTTGCTTTTGGCCACAGAAACCACCGATTTGGCTGCCCGAACCTTCTTCTGCTCCAGCATTTGCATACGCTCTACCAAACGAAGGTATTCCTTCTGCGATGCCACTGGTAAATGACGAACAGCCTGAAAAAATCATGATTAAAGTCTCGTATTTTAAACAAATAAAACTTAAACATACCACTGGAGTTGTTTTAGCCGGCTGCACTTTTGGAGTAGTTACAATTGCTGGCTGCTTCTCGTCGACCTTGGTCTTCTCGGGAATCTTTTCTGGCGCCGCCTCCGGTGAGTTGGACACTGGTGCCTTGGATCTTGCCTGCTTGAGGAAATCATCGATCTTCTTTTCAAAGTATTCATTGATCACAGTTCGCCTGAGATTGTTATTGGCGCTGGGAGCCGTTTCCACAATCTCGGATATGGGAGTATTTGATCTGGTGGTGGAGCCACTAAAGCTGCCCATTGCCAAACTCAAGGGGCTGGCAATGTCCGTGTTTGCATAGGCAAAGCTCGAACTCAGCTCGAGTTCATCATCGCTGGCAGCGGACTCCTCTGCTAAGCTAATGATCAGCTTATTAACCTTTATGCTGGCGGTATCTATGGTGGTAATGAGGCGAGTGCTGGATGTGATTGAGGTCTTAGTATGCAGTGGAGCGCTGGGCTCCTTGATCATTAGTGTTGTGGGCCGCTTTATGCTTAAACCTGAGCCCGATACCTCAGTTGTTGGTAGCTTTCCGCTTGGTCGTTGTCTTTTTGTTTATCACCTTGTTGGGCTTGACAATTTTTATGATTTTCGTGGAGGGTGAGGTTGGCTTTTTGGCCTGGATGGTTAGTTTGGCAATTGGCTGTGAGGACTCGACAGATTCCTTGAGGATGAGGTTAGTTTCCGGCTCAACAGGCTCTACAGCAGCCTCGTTTATAATCTCCTTTTCTGCTTCAAGTTCAGTACTTTCTTTCACAATTGACTGCTGATCCTGCGACTCTTCTTCATCTTTTATTGACGATTCCGTGGGTTGGAAGCGCCTAACAGCATTCTTGAGTATCTCTGGACTTGGACCAGACTTTGATTGAGCGCCACTGGCCCGCTTCTTACCAGCTATGCTGGAAAGGAGCAATAAACGCAGCTCCTCTGGATCATCTGAGTCATTTTCCTGGTTCGATTCCTCTCTAAGTTGAGCCACAGGTGCAGGAACAGGTGCGGGAACAGGAACAGGTGCAGGTACAATAACTGGAACCGAGGCTGTAATAGGAGCAGGGACCGGAACAGGAGGAGGAGACGTCGGAGGAGGTGGTGGTGGCTTGCTTGCTCGCAAATTAGATAGCAAAATAGCTCGCAATGCGCCCGCCTCGTCGTCACTCGAATCTGGCTGACTCTTCAAATGTGTCTGCGAGTTTTCCATGGAAACGGACTGCATCTCCGTGTTGGAACTTTGATTGGAATGCTGATCGACCAGGTGCATGGCATCCCGGGCATCCTCGTCCTCCAGATGCATGTGTGGAATGTGAAACGGCGGCGGTGGCGGCGGCACTTCGTCGTCGTCATCGTAAACTCTACTCTCTCTCCTCAACCGATCATCCATCCTAATATCTTCCTCATTTTCCTCGTCTATCACAATGGGCACCGAAACAGGCGGCAGGTTGTTGGGGTAAAAGCAGCGCCAACTTCCGCCAGCATTGTCCATGGAGTTCCAGTTGTTTAACCACGGATTCCACACATCCTTGTGCTGATCATCGCTGTCCGTTTCGGCCAGATCCATGTCCACGGGCTTTGTGTCCACGGCATAGTCTATTGAGTATCTGGGCGGACTTTGTTCTCGCTCTGGCGATGCGGCCGGACTGATCTCCATAAGGTCGTCGATATCATCATCGTTGGAAATGGCGGGATGCACACGATTGATCATATCAGTGGGCGAGTAGGCTCGCTCGGCGTCGCGCTTCTTGCGCGCCAAATGCTTTTTCAATATGGCAGATTTAAGGGCTATCAGTCGCAGCTTAAGCTCGGCAGGATCCTCGCTTTGCGGCTGCTCCTGTTCGGCTTCCTCCTCCTCCCCGCCGTCGGAGAGCGGCTGCAGCGGGGGCAGCGGCAGTTCAGTCTTTATGGGACTGGGTGACTTGCGCATGCGGTACTGCAGTCGCTCCCTCAAGCTGTTCTTGTACTGACTGACGAACTCCCGTCCGTCCTCCCGGGCCAAGGCCACGCGCAGCTTATCCCTGCTCAGTTTGAGCCTCTGCAGTTCCAGCTCGTCATCCTCGTTGTCCATATCGTACTCGCCCAGCTCGCCGTCGGTGCCGCTGTCCAGGGAATCCTCAATATCATAGTGCTGCTGCTGCTGACGATGCTGGTGATGATTGGCCTGTTGGTGGTGGTGATAGTTCTGCCGCCGACGCTGCGTGGTCACCGGCGGCGGTGGCGACGAGTGTTTGTGACGCCTGGCAAAGGGGTTCCTGCGGTAATCGCCAGGCAGTCCCTGATGATGATGCCTTTTGCCCAGATCCGCGCGGCGCAGCTTGTGCCTGCGATACTTGCGCTGGGCCTCGAACTCATCCTCCGACTGGCTGGACACATCCGACAGTGTGAAGACGGGCGACTTGGGCTGGTAGGACGGCAGTCGCGGCCCAGGATTTGGGTAATCTGCAAGGGAAACAAATAGTTATTAAAGTTCCACAATCAAAAGGAGGAGCCCCTTACTGTATTGATGCGCCAAATTGGCGGACAGCATGTCCATGCGCTCCACATCCTTGTTGTTCTCCTCCAGCTGCTGGATGCGGGCCCGCAGCTTAAACTCCTCGTCCTCGGACGAAATGATCAGTTCGAATTCGTCCACAATCTCGCCCTCCTCGCGATCCTCCTCCGCGACCCCGCCCCCATCGCCAGGGTCACCAGGTTCGGGGTTCGCGGGGCTATCCATCAGCTCCGGCGCCTCCTTCTTCATCGCGGAAACGAGCGCGGGCATCGTGGCAGTGCAGACAACCATCTTTGGCTCGCGGAATTTAGCACTATAAGCACTTTTTGGCTATTCACTGACACTGATGCACCAAAATTACACCCGTTTTTCAGTGCCTTTGTGCTGGAGATGACAGCCTATCGATGGCGTAGAGATGACACAGTGCTGTCCAGATATCGGCCGAAACAGATGTAACGATAGTCTAAAGATACCGAAAGCTTATGAATCTCAAATATATATATTTTTTAGTTTTTAGATCCAAATTTTTTGACATAGTTTACTTAAATTACTGAGATTTTAAAGTTATTTTTTGGAACGTATAAATAAAATATTAAAATAGAGGTGAGAGGTACTTATATGGCTATTATAGCGCTTAGTCTTTAACTACATTTATGAATAGTTATAGAAAAATTGCATTCAATAACCTTAAATAAACAAAATTTGTTTTAATTCAACTTTGCCAAACTGTTTCCTGTAGGAAGGTTTTTTTTATTTTTATCAAGAAGTCCTAGGTAAGCAAAAATTGTAATACGGTAAACCAAAATTAAAATTAAAACTCTATCACTATGGACCATTTAGTGACGAAGCGTATAAGTGTATTTAATGACGACTGTAATAATTTTTCGTCACAAACGTTGGTATCAGAACTTTTGTATGTTGAAGGTGCGATCGTCACTAGTTTTTTTACCTTGTTAAGAGGTGTTCTGTTGCAACATTTGATAGATAATACCCTCGCAAGGGATAAAATGTTTAAATAAATAAATAATAAAACAAAAAATAAAGATTCCAATCCGATAGTTTTTCGCCTTGCAACACTGCCCAGCAGAGGGCGCTTTTCAGTATTTTTCGCTTGACAGGTTACGCGACGGCCGAAATACGGTCACTCTAGCTGTCAACGCTATTTCCGCTCTTTTCCCACCCAACTCGCGGAACAAAATGCAGCAAAAGGTATTTGGGCCTGTGAAAAATTAATGATTTCGTGTCTTACTAATGCCTAAAATGTTGCGAATATTTGTATTTTGCAGCGCAGAGAACCCGTGCAGGCTGTCCAGGTCTTCGGACGCAAGGTGTGTGTGAATAAAACGGCTGAAATCCAACAAAGTTTTCGTACGACACGTGCAGGCAAAAAAAACTCGCGTCGGCGGCGGCTAAAAATCTTGAGCGCCGCCTCAACGCAGAGGTTATGTTTTTGTGTATATGTGTGCGATTATTTTGACCTGGAATTTGGTTTTAACTGGAATCTCCATGGAGCGTTTTAGTAATGCCGGCAATCTTTATAATTGCAGAAAACCGCCACCGCCGTCGCTTACTGCAAGCGTGGCAACGGCCTCCTGAAGGTGAACGGTCGTCCCCTGGAGCAGATTGAGCCCAAGGTCCTGCAATACAAACTGCAGGAGCCCCTTCTGTTGCTCGGCAAGGTATGTAAAAATCGAAGGAAGGAGTCTTAGAAAGAGCCAGGTTTACGTTTCCTTCCCGCAATATTGTTTTGGGAACAAGTATAGCACCTTTGGAAACGAAAACCTGGCTCATAGAACCAAAATGATGATAACATTTATCCCGAATTCGAAGCCAAATGAGATTACTATTTGTTTCTGATCAAAGCCAAGCAAATGGTGAACTTTTAACCTCTGGTAAACCCTATTAATTTACTTTGAAATCTTTATATTTCAGGAGAAATTCGCCGGCGTGGACATCCGCGTGCGCGTCAGCGGTGGTGGTCATGTAGCCCAGATCTACGCCATCCGCCAGGCCATTTCCAAGGCCCTCGTTGCCTTCTACCAGAAATGTAAGTGTTAAACCCTCTAAAAACTGGCTGTGAATGTCTGAGTCTAGGCGCCTTTCTCCAGATTTTTGTTGGAATTGTTATCCATTTTCCTTCGAATCATTATTGAAAGGCAGATCAATCTTTATTATGAGCATATACCAACCAAGCTGCAAGATTAGTGTGCAGTTTGGGTGATGCTTCAGGAACATTTTGAATCTAAGCCCCTTTTTCCAGATTTTTGTTTGAATTACTAGCATTTTCCTACGAATCATTATTGAAAGGCAGATTAAATTATGAGCATATACCAACCAATCGCATAAATATTGTGCAGATTGGGTGATGCTTCAGGAACATTTAAGCGTTTTCAAGACTCTCGTCACCTTTTTCCAGATTTTTGTTGGAATTGTTATCCCTTTTCCTTCGAATCATTATTGAAAGGCAGATTAAATTATGAGCATATACCAACCAATCTGCAAGATTATTGTGTAGATTGGGTGATGCTTCAGGAACATTTAAAAATTTTTTAGATTCTTTAGCACCTTCTCCCAGATTTTTGTTGGAACTCACAGCCGTTTCCAGGAAAAGACTCGAGCAAGGGAGATTAAGTGCATGTCGCAATCAAAGAGAGTAATCGGCTTATTTGACCATTGCTATTTGAGGCTTCATCGACACTTGTAGCCAAAATATTTTTAAATTTCTTTCTGATTATGAAATATGGGTTACTAAATTATTTTATCCTCTCTCCTTACAGACGTCGATGAGGCCTCCAAGAAGGAGATCAAGGACATTCTGGTGCAGTACGACAGAACCCTGCTGGTCGGCGATCCGCGTCGCTGCGAGCCCAAGAAGTTCGGCGGTCCAGGTGCCCGTGCTCGCTACCAGAAGTCGTACCGTTAAACTACTCTGTCTGGTTTTCAATTTGGATTAGAGCTATTTTTTACAACTTGAAAATGGTTTGCACGCAAGTGCGAATAAAACGGAATAATTAACTGTACAAAAGAGTGGAGTTTTGGCATTAGTGGGTGGAATGATTAAAATGGGAGAATCAATTTGTAATCTTAAAATAAAGCTACGATCGAACAAAAACAAATATATATAAATATTTTTTTGTATTTTCATTCAATTTAAATAGTGGTTGGAGTCGGCTGGTGTTTTTAGTCTCATTGAAGTATTCCGCCGTATGTCTGTAACGGTCACACTGTAGTGTTGTTATCAATGTTTTCCATATGACTAAAATATAGCTAAAAATAAGCTATTTTTAATTAAATGTTGCTAAAAACAAATAAAAGGATAGCGATGTTTTTTCCATTATATGCATTCTACTTTGTTAAAACTAAATTTTTTTGAAAACCCAAACATTTTTCACTACCCCAGCGTAAAACTTTAATAGACTTTAGCTATTATTTTTCATAATTTTCCCGCCGTCGGCTTGCCTAGCTACAAAACAGCTGAGCTGGCAGCACCGCCACGTAGTTAGTCATGGGAGCTTTGTTTGGAAAAAGTAGCAAAAAGACGGCTCCTAGTCGGATTACCGACCAGGACAAGGCGGTGCTGGTGAGTTGGTGGCCACTGCATCACCCGGAACTCTCCTCAACCCCACTATCATCTTCCCATTGCAGCAATTGAAGCAACAGAGGGATCGCCTCAAGCAGTACCAAAAACGCATCGAGACGCAATTGGAGAATGATCGACTTCTGGCCAGGAAGTGCCTGCAGCAGGGTCGCAAGGAGTATGTATAATACGAATAATTCCCAGATTCTAACTCTCTAACCCGCCTCCATTTCAGCCGGGCCAAACTGCTGCTGCGCAAAAAGAAATACCAGGAGAGCCTGCTCACCAATGCCGACAAGCAGCTGGAGAACCTGGAGAAGCTGGCCGCAGACCTGGAGTTCGCCCAGGTGGAGATGAAGGTGCTGGACGGGCTCAAGGCCGGCAATGCGGCCCTGAAGAAGGTCCACGAAATGCTGGACATCGACGAGGTGGAACGAATCATGGACGAAACGCGCGAGGGCATCGAAAAGCAGCAGGAAATAGACGCCATACTGACGGATGTGCTGACCACGCAGGACGAGGAGGATGTCCTGGCCGAACTGGATGCCCTGGAGGCGGAGGAGGAGCGGGAGAAGGGTGTCCAGCTGCCCGAGGTGCCCACCGAGGAACTGCCGACGCCCGGCGAAAGCGAATCCGTCGAGGAGGAGGAGCCGGAAAAGACCAAAGCAATCAGCAGCAAGCCCAAGAAAGTCCTGGTGGAGGCCTAAGAAACTGAACTAACAAATCGAAACCAATGCCATTTTGTATGTATATATATTGCCGTTTAACTAAACCTCTCGATAAGTCCAATGTGAAATACATGTTTTAATAGACTACGCTTTTACGCTACTTATAGTTGGACAGCTTCGTCGAGCGTCGCAAGTCCTCCTTGACCTTGCTGCGCAGCATCTTGTTGGTCTCGTTCAGCTTCTCGATCTCCTCGATCAGGATGACGTTCTCCTTGAACAGCTTGTCGTACTTTCGCTGCACGGACTTGTCCTCAGCCACCGATTTGTACCGGTCCAGGACATTCTCGATCTGCCTGCGTTGCCGCATAAACTCGTCCCTGACCTCCGCGTCCAGGGTGACGAATCGCTTGAGCTCATCATCGGAGGCGTGCTTGCGGAACAGCTCCTTCACGGCCTTCTTGAGGCCCTCGGCCGTGTTGATCTCCCCGGCCACGTAGTAAATGTCCGAGCAGATGGCATGCAGGCACTCCCGCGAGGCCTTCGCCCGATGTCGTTCCGTCCGCAGCTCGGCCACATTGCTGAGGTACTTGTCCCGCATTTCCTTCAGCTGCAGCTCCAGCTGGACGTTGTTCTGGTTCAGGCCCTCCAGCTCCGCCTCCATTTCGATGATGTGCTTGCGCTTGTCGTTAATCTGGAACTCACGCGGCTCAATCTGCGCCTTCAGCTCGGCGATTTTGTGGCCCAGCACCTGTTTGTACTTGTCCAGCTCCTGGTTCTTGTGCAGCAGGTCCTGGATGCGCTTCTCCTTGCCGTTGATGGCGTAGTCGCGATCGGCAATATCCTTCTGCAGATCCTCGATGTTGCGCATCTGCTTCTGGATGTTGCGCTGCGACTTGTGGTGCTCCTCCTTGAGGATCTCCACCTCTTCGAGCAGATTGTCGATCTCCCGGCTCTGCGACTCGAATTTCTTCTGCAGAACTCCCGCCTTGCCCCGCCACATTTGTGTCTCATTCCGCTCGGTGGTCAGCTTGTTCTCGTACTCCGTTTGCGTGGACACCATGTTGCGATCGTTCTCCAGCTCCACCTCGTGGCAGTACTCAATGAACTCGGCCTTCTTGTCCTGCATTTCCTTCATCAGATCCCGGATGAGCTCCTTGCGTT